GTATTGATCACTTGGTGTCATGGAATGAAACAAGTTTAGATAATACGGGTTTTTTGGATACTGAGTTTGAAGATATGAATATGATGTCTCCTGAAACACCTTCAAGTGTACCTTCCCATTCCACTTCTTCTTCAAAAGGAAAAAGAAAAAGGAAATCTTCGACTGCTGATCAAGACAACCTAATGATTGGAGTAGTGAGAGGTGTTGCTGAATCTCTTAAAGAGGGAAATGAACTTCTTAAAGAAGGAAATGATCTTCAGAAAACATTCAATAATCTTTATGAGAAGTGCAACCAAAAGGGAAAATATGAAGAAGAAATCTTTAAGGAGTTGGCAGCAATTGGAATAGAGGAGCATGCAATTGTTAAGGCTTTCATTTTTTTTTACTACGCATGACCATCCTGCTAGAATGACACAATTTCTTGGTTGTCCATTTAATCATCGCAAACAACTCTTGGAGGAATTGATGTCCACTGATTCTAGACGTTGACTATGGTTTTAGTTATATTGTCTTTTGGGGATGTCTTTCTACTGTTTCTAGGTTTGGTTATATTATGTTTCTCTAACCCTAATATAGCTTTTGGGATATTAACTTTGAGACCATATGTTTGTTTTATTTTAATGAGACATTATAACGCGTTATCTATTTTGGAATGCTTGATATAAGTTATTTTATTTTTTTGTCTGTTTGTCATCTATTATGGAATGCTTGATATGGGTTACTTTATTTTTTTTTCACTACTGGTGTCTCTGTTATGTGGTGGAAGCATTTTGTGAGTTCTATTCTGGTGGCTATGTGGCTGTGTTCCTTCTACTGTTGTTGTTTGATGGGAAAAATGATGAGATTCTTGTAGTTCCAAGTAAAAATAATACTTCTAATTCTGTTTATTTTGTACTAGTAGATGATGTATACATATCTTCTTCTGTTACTTCTTTTCTTGTTTTGCATACCGATGACAATATGTGGATATTATCTAGGAGCAGGAGATTTTGTCTTCTGTCTTATGCTAAGGGGATGTTTTAGTTGTTATTATCATTTATCTGAGAAATTTCATGTTTTGAATTTAGCAGGGTTGAGTCTTTTGTATACATTAGTGGCAGGTTGCTTTTAAAGTATATAGGACATACAGGAAAGACAATTTACCATCCAAACCATGCATTAGTGCACACATGATCTCGGGACCTCTAGGTTGGTTGATATTGAGTGAGACATTCCCAGTGGAGACGAGAACAACAGGGTTTGCATTTGTTGTGAGCACCAACATGTTGTTCACTTTCCTCATTGCTCAGGCATTCTTGTTAATGTTGTGCCATATGAAAGCTTTCATATTCTCCATATGAGACATTCCCAGTGGGGTTGTTTGTGGTGTTCCTAAGACATTCCCAGTGTATTTCATTTCTTTGCTCCATGTGAAAGCAAGCAAACAACTCGGACAATTTCGAATTTATAAAGCTTAGTAATAAGAAAATTGATTTCTTATTGATAAATAATGATAATTTTCAAAATACTTATAACTAATATTTATGTATGTATAGAAATCCTAAAAACTACCCTTTTAAGAATGTCCAAAATAGTCTTAATTGCTAGCTTTTAAGAATACCAAAAGTATTCTCAATTGATTAGTTTGTTTTCATTTTTACTTTTTATTCTGGAGTTCATGGGATGTTGATAACTTAGCAAGAATGTAAAGCTATACTTGGTGGAGTTGACAACTTTTAGTTTCAACCCAACTCATTTATGTGCATTTATTTCTGGTTATACTACTGCACTTGTAAATGTGTTCAATTTTAACACTATTAAGGGACAGTTTTGCAGGGTTTAGGTTGGTATACAATCACCAGAAGGGATCACAACTACATGAGGACTTTTAAGAAGATTTAATAATTTCTTGAAATTATTTGCTGCTGTAAGGCTGATTATATTCGTACAAGCATTAATCATTTATTTTTTTGAATATAATTGGCAGTTGACCACCAAAGAAACACATTTAATTGCATGATATGTATAATTTTATTTTTATTGACCTGTAAGGGTAGGATAGTAATTTGGTCACTATCATTTTTTTTCTTTTCTCTCCTCTATCTTATCCAAACAAGAATAACTATTCTTTCTTTTATTTTCTCCTCTATCTATCCAAACACGAATAAAAATTATTACTATCATTTCTTTTCTTTTCTTTTATCTCCTAACTAATACTATCATTTATTTTCTTTTCTCCCCTATTTATCCAAACACACCCTTAAACTTTGTGAAGCCGTTAGATTTATGTAATTATTATCACAAATCTTACTGTTATAATAATTACTAATTGATACCTAAAAAAAGACCAAAAAATAATCATTACTAATTGATAAATTATAAGTTTTTCATATGGTACAAAATAAATTTTTTTATTAAAAAAAAAAAAATTGTAAAGATCTTCTTAGTTATTGATAATGCCGAAACACTGCAACCCCAAACCGTCTGTTCCCGTAGCCACAATCGCTCTGTACCCGTGGCTACAATCGATCTGGCCATTGAAGCAACACTCTTTGAGTTGGTCGATTCTTCAACCTTCTGGTGTATTTTTCCAAATGATGCTGTAATGATGCTGCTCCTGCCGAGATCGAATATATACGCGCGTGTTTGTGTGTGTGTATTCACATATTTATACAAAATTACTTATAAATTTAAAAAAAAAATTTATATATATATATATATATTTTTGTGAAAGTCTTAAGAATGCCCCCCACTCAAATTCTAATGATATTATCATTTTTGTATATATATGCCCAAAAATATATATAGGGTATTATTTTTCTTTCAATGTTTTGATTTTGTCGGACATGAGAGAGAGTTGAAGTCAGTGGAGAGGTTATTTTGTTTTTGATAATTATCTTCTATTGTTAGAATGAGTGGTAAAGATAAATTAAATTTGAATACTTTTAAAAATATATTATAAGTGGACTTGGAATGTGTTTAATTAGAAAGTGTGTGGATAGATTTTGTCGCTCAGCTAGAGCAAGAGATCATTACTAATTATTTTTTATATATATTAATTTTATAAAGTTTAATAGCGACGCACCGAAAAAGAAAGGAAGGAAACAATTCATACAAGTATAATGGGGACCATAAAGGCATACGGGAGGAAACAATTCACTTATTATTATTTTGATTTTGGATCACTATTTACAAAATGTTTTAATATTATATAAATAAATTAAGGAAACAATTCATACAAGTATAATGGGGACCATAAAGGCGTACAGGAGGAAACAATTCACTTATTATTATTTTGATTTTGGATCACGGTGTTTTAACATTATATAAATAAAATAAGATCATACTAAAACAAATTATTATTGTCAAAATTAACAGTGTAACACCCTAAAAACAAAAACACCCTACAAACAAAAGCAGCATAAGCAAAAAGCATGCCAAACGGGGAAGGATCTCGCCATTGAAGGCACAAAAGCTTTAGTCTCTCTCCGCATCGTCACCATCATTCCAGAACAAAATTCCGCAACTCCAAACTACTCGATCCCTGGAGTTTTTGAGGTTAAAAATTGACTGACAATACTTTATGCTTTATTATTGAAGTTCAATTTTTGGTCGAATCTGATATTCAGTTTCATTGTTAGGAGATTTTGGCCGGAGAGGCATAGTTTCATCAATGCATTATTGGTCTCGTGCCGACGAGGTGGGAGGGATAGTGCTTTTTGGGAAAGGAGTTTTAAGCTAAGTTAATCACTCAAAAGCTTTGAAACCCAAATCAATTAATTTTGATTTTATAACAAATTTAATCTTAAAAATGGTTTTCAAGGTGGAGTCTTTTTTCTTCTTGCTGCTGTTATTGAGCTTTAGCGATAAGCTTCAATATTGATAAATGATCATAGTTTTCCCCTACCAAAGCCATCAAGGCTAATAACACCATTCACCATATTTTCTTTACTGACCCATTTGAAACGGATTTGCAATACTCTGTTTTCCTCTTACAGGTAATGATGGTCGTCCCATGTCAGAAAGATTTGCAATACCATGTGACTTGTTGAGAAGGATTTGCAATACCATGTATTTTGGGAGACGAAAAAATAGGCAAGATTTTTATTTTTTTATAATTGATCAGAAAGATCCGAAGACGATGAACAACATTTTAACACACTCTATTTATGTGTGTTGGGTAAGGGTGTGTTTGGGCGCAATCTTAAGTTAGGTGTTTGGGTGTCATGGACTCGTGTTCTTTTCGAACTCATAAGGGCGTTATAGTTATTAAAAAATATATTCAGTGTCACGTGCGATCACATGATTTTTTAACGATGAGATTCAATTGGTACACCGCCCGATGGTACAATTCGTAACAAAAATGTATAGTTCATGAAATTATTTGCAATTTTTGTAATTCAGGTTTGTTGCTAATTGATCAATAATTCAATTTTTTTTTTTTTTTTTTTTGCATTTTACTCTTGTTTATATTATACACACCCATTTAGATAGAGGGAGGAGAGGTAAGATGGTAAAGGCCAATGAAAAAGCTTAAAAGAGTAGTTTTGATTTAAAAAAAATATTTTTAATGTTGCTTAAAAATAGAAACAAGTAATTAATGAGAGTAAAAATAACCAATAAAAAAAGCCAGTGTCAACGGACTGGTGGATTAAACAATTTGCCTTTAGCATTATTCAATTAAAAAAAAAATGTTAGTTTTAACTTAAAGTGAGAACTACTAACATAACCAAGAGGATATTTATACATACGGGACTTACAAAAATACACTCACTTTTTTTAAAATTTAATTTTTAAGATGAGATTTTTATTATATTTATTTTATCAAAAAAAAAAAAAAAAATCAATCTACAATGATGTAATAATTTATTTTTATAAATTTAATAAAAAAATTAAATTGATAATGCCTAAAAAAAAATTATTGAACTTTTTAATTACAATATTTATTTAAAGACGAGACATTTTTTGTTTATTTGGGACAGGCGAAGAAGTATACATTTTTGCTTTTTGACCCTTCTTGGATAGACTTGATGAAGCACTACGAACAAAGGTCTTATTTTGGTCAAGCGGTCGGAAGTTGTTTGATAGTAGAACAACAAATCTTTGACCAATTCCAAGCCATCTCAGAAATATCAGATATTTGTAAGTAATTGCGAACGAAATTGTAGACCTGCAATGTGAAAGAAGTTGCATCTATCTGACTTTCAGCTTTGTTTATTCCAAACCCATAAATACCTTCATCGATACATCGTTGAATATCATATCAGGTACTCAAACTAAAATCTGAGTCCTATCTTTTTCTCTCTCCCTTTTCCCATTCTCTCTGATCATCTCTCTGTCTGTCGGTTAACAGTTAACACAGATCGGTTTTCGCCCAAGACGTCGTGCGGCTCTCCCTGGCATTTTCATTGTTGTATTCACCATTTCCGGAATCCGGTGAGTTTGCTTCTCTCTTTGTTGTTCTCTCCTCTGTTTTCTGTTCACAAACACACACAAACACAGACTGCTATACTTGGATTGTTTTGGGTTTGATTTCGTAGAAGGCTAAAACATTGAACCCAACTGATTCAAACCGCAATTCTTGGTTTCAAAAATAATTTTGATAAAGCAAACCAAACCAATGTGTGAAATTGAGAAATCAAACTTCCCTCAAGAATGAAATCAATCAAACAAACCAATGATTGAATTTGCACTATTATTGTAGTTATGTGTTTGTAAGTGAAATTAAAATTTTCGTTTTTAATAGTTAATATTATTTGAGTCTTAAAGAGTATCAACTCTTGTATGGTTGATTGACACTGTAGCGGGGCGCCCATTCAATGGATGAAGTGGGTCTCAATATTATATTCACTTGAGATTCATCTTATTGACCGCCACTACAATCGTGACACTCCAAAGTTTTTTTCTAATGACAGTGGTCAGTCATCCTATCCGATCAAATTAGTAACAAATGCAGCTGTCCATAGTTTTTCTTTAATGACAATGATCAGGACAATTTCCAATTTGTCCCTCTTGGTCTTTCAATTCATGAGAATGAAATTAACCTCTGAGTCCAAGATGTGTAGTTTGATTATCGATGTTATATGGTTGTTAAGTTGGATTATTTGAAATGTTGGCCATCAGCTCCTTGTGTTCACACTAAATTGTTAGTTAGAAAAGGATCTGATACTATTCCTCCCTCTCTTGTCTCCTTTCCCTAGCCCTATGAAACTCTTCCCGTCTTCCTCGGATATTAGCCCTTTGAAACCCTCCCTCTTTTGGTCTAAAACCCTAAGTGATTGCTGTTCAGCAACTCAGATCTGAAGCTAGTCTTCACTGTTGATGATTTGGATCTCACTCTCATCATTGCCTGAGCTATTGATCCTCCAAAACTCACCATCAAAGATCTCTCTTAGGTCAGTTGTGCTTTATTTTTCTGTAAGTTTAGTTTTTTCCCCTTTAAAATCCTGCATTTATCAATTGTGCGATCATGGCGTGTTTTGTGTAGACATAAATTTTGAACTTATTTCATTTTTTATTGAGATTATAGGTTTTATATTGAAACTAATAATTACATTTTCTAAACAATGTATTTTAATTTGGTTGGTTCAAGTGATAATAATATATATATATAGTTTTTCTTTGTAATTAGTTGAAAATTTTCTTATCAATTTTTTGCTTCTCTCTCTCTTTCTCTCTCTTTATATATACACTTATATATTTGTCTGGTTGGTAGTTCGTGTTGGCAGTGGGGTAGTTGAGTTTGAGATTGAATGGTTCAAGGTTGCCTGTTACGGAAGTGATGTTGTTGTGGTGCAGTGGTATTGGTTCTGTTGGTGCTTGTGTGCTTTCCCCATCTCTTTCTTTATTTAGGGCGATTGAATTTAAACCTTATCAGCATATTTAAGGGTTGTGGTCCTGAAGTGTTTTCAACCTCGCATGTAGGGCCCAAAATGTAATGACACATTTTTTTACAACATAATAAAAATGGATTTTGAGTGAATTTTAGTTATTTTATTGAGTTTTCGAAGACCGTTTTACACAAGTAATGACCTATTCATGAATTCTATGTCATTGTCATTATTAAAAAGCTTAGTTTGAATATTTTTTATAAAATTAGTGAATAAAAATAAACTTAACTATGAATAAATGAAATGCATACCATATATACTATGTGAGAACTTAAAAAAAAAAAAAAAAATCTAAAACAAAAATAAATAAATATACTAGAAAAGATATATGGTTTTGTCTACATATGAAATAAACTATAAAGTAAATCTTTCTATATGTGATTTTATGGTCATTCTTCATTATGTTTGTTTACAATAATGACTAACTGAAGGGTTTTGTGATGATTAAATAAAAACTAAGCCCTGATAATAGCACAAGATGAAGCTTGTTTGAGTGACAAAAGTTCTACCTTTCTTACCAAAGGCTCCAGGTTTGATTCTCAACCTGGTCATTAACCATTTAAAAAGAAGCAGTAAGTTGGGTGTTGGCCTATTCGGGAACTGGCCCTGGATTGGCCTGCTTCTAACAGAAATGGCCAGTTCTGGTCTGGTTCTATGGTGAATAACCAGATCACAACAGAACTGGCCGCATCAATGCCAAGCCTACCATTTCTGTAGAGGATCGGCCTTCAGTTTGGTATCGGAACCTGCCAGGTTGCGGAGAAACGGCTGGTTCGTTGAACTATGGCCTTGGGTACTCGTAAACACTTGTTTCAAAATTATTGATGCTGCAATTGATATTCATAGTTTAGATGAGTCTGTTTCTATTTATCTCCCCTTCCACCTTCGAATGTCCACTATAGATTATTAAAATTGTAAAGAATCAATGCATCCAAATGCTTCTACTTGTAACAGTATAAGGAGTAAGGACTGAAGAGTGCAAACACCTCTTTGGAGGCTTGCGTAGATAAGTGGAAGATAATTGGCTCAGATGTGCAGTAGTAAAAAATTCTTACATACAAGGTTTTTAAGAGAGTGGCCTAGTGGTATCAACCTCTTACTTTTCAAAGGGAGGTCAGGGGTTCAAGTCTCAGAAGAGACAAGTGTGTGTGAGTACCAACTAGGAAAAAAAAAGAGAGAGACTCTGCAGGAGAAAAATGGGAGGTTTTAAAGGTGCCTGGGAGAGAGATGAGAAAAAAGGTTTTTAAAATAATGCATTACAAAAGTCAACCTTGATATTTGTTGCTACTGGAAAGTAAACTATAATTTCTGTGAGGAAGGTTCTCAGAAGCATATGTCTATGTGGGAGGCTACACAAGACAAATGAGCCTAACTGCCAATCTTCCATTCATTGCCTCTCTGGTGGAATAGATTTTATTAGGGAATTTAAGGTATCCAGTTATTAAAAGACTGGTGGTTTAGGTTGGAGATTGGGGATATTGGTAGGTGAGTGTGGTATACGAGCCAAACAAGCCTATATGCATGAGGATCTATTCCTGGAGGTATGCCTTACCTTGGGTAAGTCCTCTGACCATTTTTATGATGTTAGAATCCTACTTATTTTAATGGGGTCTTGTCCTATGTGGCTTTCTCATCATTCATTTAACTCAGTCTTTGTATTGGTGGAAAGAAGTTAGTAGTTGGACATATCAAAAGAGGGGGGAAAAAAAGGAAAGAAGTAGAGTGCTTTTGTGCAAAAAGTTTATGTACAGTTGAAAAATGAAGTTGAAACAAAGAAGTTCAAGTCGGTACTTGGTAGGGAATGGTTTAGCATGACAGGATCTGAACATATTGGATTTAGCTCTTCTCGCTCTTACTTGATTAACCTTGTTTTCAGGTGATTTCTTGCAGTGGTAAGGAATAGTGGTAAATGCCTGTAACAGGTCCATTGCAAATTATTCTCCAAATTGGAATCTCTGTATGAATTTAGGGTTTAGGGGGAGGTAAGATAGAAGTAAAAGTTCTTACATCTAATTTGCTGCAAAGAATGAAGTTTTCATTCTGTACATGCCAGATCATGAATTATTAACTACATACAACTAACCTACATAATTCTTGATGAATCTAAGGAGGGTTTAGCCTGTTATGTTGTCCAACTAAACACCATGAAAGTGGAGGAGGATTCTATGAGATGGTGGCCACAAGAAGGGGATGTCTGAGGAGTGCGTTTTTTGTGGGATGTTATTGGAGAGAGAGCTTTTAATTTCCCTGACAGAAATCTGAATTATGGTAACTTCTTTGGTTGGACAGCTGCCTCAGGGGGTCCTAGTGAGCAACAAAGTTGATATTTATGGCACCTGATGTCTTTATGTATGTGGTGCTTTGTGTGTGTGTACACTATCCATATTTTGGGTGTTGTTGGTTGGGGTGGTGGTGATAGAGAAATACTTTGTTTTGGTTGATTCTTCTGAGATTTCTGGGAGAGATGAAGTGATGAACTACAGTAATATAGCATATGAGGAATTTCAGTCACAACAAACAAGTTTTTATGTATGACAAATTTTGAGTCAATTCACCTGCAATGTGAATTCCTGCTTTGATTCCTGAAATGTTGCCTCTTTTTTTTTTTTTTTTTTATTTTTTTTTATTCCTTTTGAATTGATGCTTGATTGAGTAGAACCTTTTCTACAGGTGCACTTATAAATAGCAGACCTTCATAAGGTTATTACGATTAGTAGTTTGGATTATGTTCGTATGGAATTTAATTTTGCAGCCCATTTGTTAGCTGCTCGTATTAGATCAAATTTGTTAGTTTGTTCTGACATTAACGATCTCCCTTCTGATATAATGTTGGAGGTCCATAATAACTGTTCTCATTCTGCAAGTTTTTACCTCTGCCAGGAAAAAAAAACAGAAGCAGAAATTGAAAGATTTCATGAGCACTTGATTATAGAGGACATGAACCCTTTTATTGCCTTTGGAGGCCTTCTGTGTTAATTTAGCCCATTCTGTCAGTTCTCTACAACCATGGAGCACTTTTTTCATTTTTCCAAGTGTTGAACTTAGAAGAAAACTTTTCAGCTGGAAAATGGATTTGAATTGCTTGTCTCATTGTTCATCATGCCTTAAATATGTTCAATATTGATCTCTTCTACTTAGAGTGTAAAATATGATTTTTTTTTTTTTTTTTTTTTTTTTTTTCTTTTGCATTTTGTTAATTTCTCAGATATGGGATGGATATGGCATTTTATTTGTGTTGTATTATTCTAGGGAAACAAAACTTTTATATTATGCTTTCTAAAACAGTGAGAATTTTGTTAGCTCCAGGAATCTGAAGCTCAATCAGTAGATGTTTTTCGTTACCTTTTTTCGGTTTTTATTTTAATGCTATAATTTATGACTTTTTTTTTTTTTTACCTTTTCCTTTTGATATAAGCTCAACTCACCTGAAAAAAGCCTTTTCCCAGTAGTATTGATATAATTTTCTGATCTATTTCCTTGATATTTCTATTTTATTTAATATGGCACGCTTTCGTTTAATGCATATGAATTGAGATTCTTTGAAGATTATTGATGTTAAGCCTCTCATATGCATTGGATGGATGATCAAAAATGAAGACTATTGAGTTTAAGCCCCTCTTTTGCAATTCAGAGATAGTACTAGTTCATGTGGTCCAACAACTACCACATTGAAGACTGAAACCTAGTCCTTTCATAGGATTGCTTTTGGAATGTTTTTTTTTTTTTTTGACCGACATAGTCAATAATGCACAAAGCAATTGACTTAGAATGTTGGAAAACCAATAAAGTGGTTTAGTCATGTGCTATGAAGTCCAATAATTGATCAATGAGGAAGTAATATCACTTTAGCATCAAGTCGATACTTGTAACATGTCACTAGATTTGTCAATGGATCAGATTCCAATAACCGGATAATAATCCAAATCCGATAATCCATTCACTTAACAATTTCGATATGGATTAATGTCAATCCATTCTGCTAAGAACCCGATCCGACCTATTTTGTTATATATTATTTTAGTATACAAGTATATATGTATATTTTATACATCATCTCTAGGTTTTATGGAAGAAAGTAATTAAAACTTATATGCATGATAGGATGGGTTCCAGCATGCACATTAGCAGCTCCCAATATTTATATAAGCACCCAAACTAAATACTCCACATTCACAAACAAAGGCTCCAGACTTGAAAGAAATGGAAACGGTGAATAGGTGATGAAATGAGCTCGTTGCTGACTCACCTGAATCTTCTCCGAAACACTGATCGTCATTTTCAACTGAGTTTTGTTACCTATTCTCTCTTCTTTTCCTTTTCATCCTCTTGTTCTTCCATTCTATTACAAGCCCTAATTTTCCATCTTCTTATTCCCCCTTTCACAACAACAGAGATTAACTCAGATTTCTCTCTTTTCCCCTCTTCTTTGACTTCCCTCTCCCCTTTGTTTTTTCCCTCACTCTTTACTGTAATTTTGTGTTCTTTAATACGAAAACCCAAATTTGCAAATCTCTTCTTGCACCCTAGACCCAGATCTTCATTTTTTCTCCTTTACTGAGATTTGGTATATTATTTCTGAGTAGTAATAATGATATATTTGTTTGATTTGTTTCTTTCCTTTTGCAAAATTTTTAATTTATATATGGATCGGATTATTCGATAAAGGGAATATTGGATATGAATTTATTAAAAAAATATTCATCGGATTATTGGATCGGATTGGATCACATTTTGTCTTATTGGATTCACATCGAACCAAACGTGATCCATTCGAATCTGATCCTTTGATACTTGATAGGTCTACATATCCACTTGTACCTTTTCGTTGTCTCTTCACTGAGGAAGCTGATCTCTTTTTCCATAAGGTCAAGTTGATTTCATGGACAATGACATGTTTTACTTCTCATTTATTCACAGACAATCGAGCTAGTACTTTACTTTAGGGTGAATTATCCTGACCTCCTATGAGGTTTGAGCTTTTCACCTATTAATTAAACCTTGGTCAAATCTGCTGGCATGAGGTTTGGTCAAAATAAGAGATTCCTCCCTGGCCGTTAAGTCACCATCAGAATTATTTACTCCAATACCAAACCCTTAGTTATACTAGAATGGAAAAATTATCCCTGCACTTACTTGAAATGACTAACATGCCCATATAAAGATGACAAAAATGCCCTTTTATAAATTTAATCATATTGATAAAAATTTATTATTTATTATATAATTAAAAGATTATAAATATTTAATATGCAAATTAAATATTTACATTTGCTTTTCAAAGCATTCTAAAATTAAGCTCTAAATATAATTTCAGAAGTTGTTAGTGCATTTTCTTTGAACTCGAAGATACCCATACAGGAAAATACCATACGTGACCTTGACTGATAATTTGGAAAGACTAACCTTGCCTGACAATTTGGAAAAGACTATCTTAATCATACTTTCTTGAACAAGGGTACCCTTCTTGTTCCTTCCTCTTAAATTGCAACCAATTCCATACTCACAAGTCAGCAATCTTTTCACGTGAACCTAATCCATCTAATCACTATTCCTCTGATATATGTTATATATACACATGCACACAATCAAAGAACCCAAAAACCCTAATCATCATCTCTAAAACCATCTGCTATCTCATTTTGCTACCATGGCTGCAACAATGGCATCAACCGGAGCACGATTTATCCTTACGTGTTCGATTATTATCATCATGATATATATTTTTCTCCAAAGTCCAAATTAACTCTCTTCTTCCTTAGCCAAAGCTCCTCCACTTCTTGGTTTTGTTTGACCCACCCAATCATCCTCCGCGTTGCCAACAAGTAGTATCACCTACAAACAATGGTCCATAAAATTATTTGCGACCCAGAATTTGAAATTTCTTCTACTTCTAAGTTTTGACAAAATTTGTATTGCTTACAAGCATGAAGGATCGCAAATTTATGTTTCGTAGAGCAAAGTTGTCTTGATTTTTGGTGGTAGCTGTAGACTGATAGCTGTGTGTTCTTGTAAAAGAAGTTTTTTGATTTAAGTGTTATCACTGTTGGTTTTTTTAATGGATGGATATCTTTTGCATTACTTAGTATTTAATGTTTTGAACATAATACATGATATGTGAAATTCTGGAATTTTTGCTTCTACATTATCTGCTATGTCATGTTCTTGACTAAGGGACCCTTAATAGTTAATAGTTCTGAATGTTGTGATTATAAACTAGGGATAATTTAATAAATGACAACTTTTGAAACCAGTATTACAGAAATGACAGTATTCAAAACGAACTTGTGTATAAAGCAGCTTAACACAATATAATTACATATTTGACAGTTTTTACAGTTTAACTTTCGTATTCCCAAAATGCCCTCAAATTCTCTCTCTCTCTGTCATCTTTCAATACTCTCTCTATCTATATCTAGTGCACACACTTGCGAACCCATCTTCTCCGGCATCTTTTCTGGCGACCGGCGAACTCATCTTCTCCGGCGGTTTTGGATTTTTAGATCTATCAATGAAATCTATTTTGAAAGAAAAGTTCCGGAAAAATAGATTGAAAGAACATCAGGCCAAAAATTTTCAGGTCTGGGACTGGTCCGGAAATGTCGGGCTTTGGTTCAATCTCCTTCACAGTGAAGAAAGCTTCCTTCGTACAATACCTAATATCATAAGTGGCGATGATGTCAACATCACGTCAACACAAGCACCATGGACACCGGCGATCACTGGTTTTGGCACCGTTCAATGGTTGTGACTGCCTCCTGGAAGCCCTCCGGTGCATCTGCGGTCATTCGGTTGGACACCTCCGGTGTTTGAGTTTAGGGTTTTGAGGTTGGAGCAGAAGTTACCATCGTTACTGGAGAGGATTATGACGCCCACGTTAGGATTTTGGTCAAGAGAAGATAAAAGGGAGCAAGGACGATCCTCCGGTGCGTTGCCGGACTAACTCATGTTGGTGAGTCACACCTTCTCGGACGACCAACTTCAATCTCATCCCAAATTCAGACACCCATTACCCTCCTCTGCAACTCTAGAAACAGAAATAGACCAACCGATGACTTCGCTCTCCTCCACCGTCACAACTCAATTCAAGGGTTTCACCGATCTTTCTTTGCGACTCCAATTCTCAATCTTTGTCTCCACTTTCTCTCAATACAGGCATCTTTCGTTCCAAGACGACGGTGATGATGACTCAGTGAGTCACACGTCCTTGGCCAGCAAAGATACCACCGCGGGCTAGAATATTACCTCCCAAATCAAGGACGGTGTTTCCCCAAAAGACCTAGATTTCAGGAAGCGGTGGTGGGGAAGTGGGTGGTGCTGGAGGACAATTTGAAGATGGAGGGTTGGGTTAGGGGAGAAATGGGTTTTGATGGTGGTGATTCTGCAGAGAAGAAGAGTACATAACGATGGGGTGGTTTGATATGTCCTGGTTATAAAGGTATTTGTGTAATAGCATCAAAAGGTGTTGGGGGCACTTTGGACCAAAAGAGTCTATATTCCCATATTTTTAATTACTTTTGTTGTGAGGCTTTTTCAGTTATGCCATTTTCGTATTCTTCATATTTGTAATATAGGCTACAAAAGTTGTCTTCTATTAAATTTTCCCTATAAACTACATTCTTTTATAATTCCACTGTTGTGAAATTTCATTGCAATATGATTTGTTTGCATATTCAATATAATATGCACTGCACTCATGCTTTCAACTTGTCTTGCGTCTAGGCTCCAGGTGATTTTTCTGCCTTACTGTGCCTTGCACTTTTAATCATCCTTCAGATTCTTTTGAATTTTAAAATCGAATATTTATTTATTTATTTAATTTTTTTCAATGGGATTTTGGAATTAAAACATGTTTATCCTGTACATTCCGATAAGAGTTGGGCTGGGTTAGCAAAATTTATGGTCGTGGCATTATACTCCCCCCTGTCGCACCGTGATTGTTACTGTTATGGCGGATGTTATCGTTACTTTAAACCAGGTTTACAAGATGTCATTTCTATGCATACATCATGTATATTATTCTTTATTGGTAGTTGATTATTGAATATCTACATCAATGTAGGGATTTTTTTTCCTCATCAATGTATTGATTGAACTTCAAGTTATTGTTAATTCATATATTCCATTCTAACGGTATGCCTTTCTTCTTTTCCTGTTAAGTTCAAGCCCTTGTTTTATTTGGCATTAGTTACATCTGGACCAACTCATTACTAATCATACTTGACCAATATATATATCTATATGTATATATATATATATATATGTATTAATCACCAATCATTGATATATGCAGGCTCTGTGGGTATGTTGATTGGGAACAGTGCATGAGCTTAGGGAGAATGCACTAGAAGGAAACGTGTAGTTGATCTTGTTTGTATGCCACATTGAGATATTGAAAACAATGGCATCAGCTGCAGTGAATATGGTGAAGACTACATTAGACTTGGTGACATTAACATTTGATGCTCCTTTTGCTCGAGCTGTTGTTTTTGGAGTGCCCATTGGAGGTAAGTCCTCAAATCTTAAAAATCTGATGAATACTTTGTTCTTTTCATTCCTAATATTTTTGACTAAAAGGTTTAACATTTTCTGCCCTTTCTTGGCTTCAGGGCATCTATTTGTGGAAGGTCTCCTTCTAGTGGTTATCCTCTTTCTACTTTCCCAGAAAAGTTATAAGCCACCTAAACGGCCATTAACAAAGAAGGTTTGTATGGCATATGTCCTATAAGTCCCATATCAGCTATTTGTCTTGTTCGACAAGTTTTGTGGTGTAATCAGTAACGATCTTTAATCTCTTAAGACTCAAATAGACTGTAATGAAGCCACTAAATAATTTTAGCATCATATAATGGTACTGGACAATGAGGTCATATAAGCTTCGACTATTTTCTCCTTTACCTATAATTAACAAATGCTTTCAGTTAAACTAGAGTCTTCTTGGTGCCTGCATATGTTCTTGAGAAAGGCTTTACACTTGTAGTTCACATCGACATTCTTCACAGCTATAATAGTGATTCAAACTTCGTCAGGGAGAAATTTTCATGAAGGATCTTGTAGTTGGTTGGCTGTATTACAAAAATTTATGCCATGCCTTTTAAAACCTAGTCATATAATAATTAAAAGATAAAATTAGGTCTAGCATATGTTTCAAATTATTTTAAGCATGGGATTGTGAGTAGAAATCGGCAAACTCGGGTTTTCTAATATACTAAGGAAATGAGGATTGCTTTAATATCTCTAGGATGTTGGTTTAAAGATAGCGAATCAATTATTAGTCCCAGTTAAGACATGAGAGAAAAGAATATAGTGAAGGGAAGAAAAAGTAGGTAAAAAAGATGGGTATTAAATTAAGCAATCATTATATCCTTTACAAAGCTTTAAAAGTTTGACTTCTTAATGAACTTTCACTAACAGCAAAAGATATAACCATTACCCCCACCACCCCACACATGCCGGGCACACACCCCAACCAAAAAAAGGAAAAATGAAAATTAAAGATATGAATATAACTTTCTTTATGGATTCAATACTATAATAATATATAGCCCTTCAATCAAATCAATTTCAACTATTAACAGAAGTTTGATTTATTAAAGGAAAAACACTATATAAAAAAGCCTCTGTTAGTTTATTAGAATGGTAGCTTACAGTACTCACTAAATTATTTAAGAATGTTTCCCAGTTGGAAATAAAACTATACCATCAAAAGTCAAACAAATACAAGACTTGAGATCCTTGAAATCAGTCAAAAAGCTTGATTTTGATAGCAAGTCTTGGCATGGGTCTACAACACTTGTTTTAGGCTATAAAAGAGGGTATGTCTTCCATGCCTGGGCTATAGATACAACATCCTTAAAATCAAAATGAAATGTCAAATTTTGTTGACGTGTTGAAGTATTATAGTCCACTGTAATACATCTTATCACCAGATTATCAATATCTATTGTTTATGCTGTTATTGTAGACTTTTATAGTTTTACTTCGCATCGTTTCTGGCATTGTGCCTTATTTATTTATTTTTTTCCCGTATTATTTATATTCATGACCTTTTGTAATGCTTGTTAGTTTTCAACTTTACACAATTATAACATTTAAGTTTTACGTTTAGTGTAGTAGTTCTTGACATCTTGATCTTGTACCATCCAAACCTGATGACTGTGTTTGATTGGAATTTGTAGGAAATAGATGAGCTATGTGATGAATGGGTTCCAGAATCCCTTATTCCTCCTATTACAGAAGAGATGCAAGGGGAACCCCCTGTATTGGAAAGGTGAAAGCCGCATGTTTTCAATTGAATTTTTCTTTAATTGTTGAGTTCTCACGAAATGTTGCTGAGGATAGGCTCGTGTATTTTGTTCTTTCTCAAAGATTTAGGTTTTGACAAAAAAAAAATTCACCTGTTTTTCCTTTTTTTCATTGAGCAACTTTTCTGTGTCATTTGTTTCCTTAAATATAGCAGGTGGCTAATGTACTTCTTGTCTTCTTCTTTCTGGAAACTTCTTTTATGAAACTACTTCTTCGGAAAATTGTTGATTTTCTTCTTACAGATATTAACTTCTTGAGTATGTGTGAAAGGGGTTTTCCATTATATCAGAGACATCACTGCTCATGAGTTGCATTTATGCAGTGCTGCAGGGCCGCATACAGTAATCAATGGCAAAGAAGTTGTGAATTTTGCTTCAGCAAATTACCTTGGATTAATAGGAAATGAAAAATTACTTGTGAGGAAAACTTACTATTTTATATAAAATTTTCTTTTATGGTAATGGTTTTATCCAAATGGAGCATTTATAGCAATGCTGTATCACAGGAGTCATGTACTTCTGCATTGGAGAAATACGGTGTTGGTTCTTGTGGTCCTCGTGGGTTCTATGGAACAGTTGGTATAATTTGATATGGATTCATATTTCAGCAATCAACTTAATGAACTGCATTGATGTTTCCTCATATATCTTTGGCATGTAACTGTTAACAATTTTGTTTTACGTAGATGTTCACCTTGATTGCGAGGCCAGAATAGCAAAGTTTTTGGGAATTCCTGATTCAATTCTCTATCCCTATGGACTCTCCACCATGTTCAGTGCAATTCCAGCTTTTTGTAAAAAAGGAGATATTGTGGTTGCGTGAGTATATTTTATTTTGAGTGTTTAATTGTTGGCTGCCCATGTATGTCATAATATGAAGTAGTTAATGGACCAGGGAAATTAATATATAGATTACATGGAAAATGTTGTAATTCTTGATTGATGCTTCATTTAAGTTGTCTAATGTTTTAGTGACTAAATACATGATCATTTTTCTATGATCGGCAAGTTGCTTGCTATAGTTGAGTAAGTTTTTCATTAAAAATTGAGAATAAAAGTGGCATTCTTTACCGATTTGCCTATTATTGTCTTCTCTTAGAGCATCTCCAACCCAATGTCATTTGGGCTGCTATTTGTAAAATATGGCAGAAGGGCTTCAAATGGGCTCTCCAATGGGCTGTCATTTAGCCTGCCAAATTTTAACTTTGCCAATTCTTTTGCCAATTCTAGCACAAGACATGGCACTTGCTATTTCTGATTTTTCGTTCCTACCCACGGCAACAGAGAGAGAGAGAGAATAGAACAGCGGCATCCCGATCAGATGAATACCTCGGCCCTGCCCTCATCTCTTCCTTTTTCTCTCTCCTACACCACACACTCTTTCCTCAAACCATAGACACCTCGCCTACCCCATTGCCACTCCTCCGTTGCTTTGAAACTGTAGAAGGAAGCTATTTCTAGGGTTTGTTGAAAGCTGATCGCGTTCGTTTGCAGATTGTTTTCTCCATTACAAATTTGATATCTGTAAGCTGTGTTACCTGGACTAGCCGGCGACGGCCAGAGTGTCCGTGTCGACACGACACGACACGACACGGACACCGACATGGGATATGTGTCCGACCCTCTGATCTTCAACCGGACACGGCTGATGACGAAAATAAACAAAAGGATGTGTAACTCGATGCTTGTGAAGGATTAGGGATTTTTTTCGTGTTCTATTTAATAGATCTGCAGCTATACAAAGCTTCCTGGTTCAACAATGGCGCTCTGATTCGAATCGGTGGTCTAAAGGTTGAAGACGACTTCTTGTTTGTGAAATCGCATGCGCTGACTTTGCAAGTACCTACCTGAGCGTGGTTTCACGCAATTGTTAATACCCAGCCTTTAATGGCCAGGATGATGCCACCTATTTACCTATTTGTTTGGATCTGAAAAGATAGAGACAATAATGGGCTTTTTAATAAAAGTAAAAAATTCAATGCCTTACAGCTGGAAAGCAATACCTACAGCTGTGTGTGGTATACAGCTGTTACTTACCTTTATTACGAGTTATGACTGATATACATATTGTTTATATTGTTGAGTTGGGCTTCCTTGTTAATTGTGCTTTGACTTGTACAGGCCCAAAGGTCAAGACTAAGATGACAATTAAAAGGCATCTTAGCCCAAGCCCAAACTTGCCCAAAAGGAGCCCTTAAAATTTCTGATTACAGGTTCCCATCAAATAGTAACACGGGAATGCATATCCATGACTATGGCCATGCCACCAATCAAATGAGGCAAACAAATGGTAGTAATAATTATAAAATGTTTATAAAAAATTACAATTGATATATTTATTTTTTTAGTTTTATGATTGATGTCTCAAACATAAAAAAATATTCCAATTTTTTTTTTTAACTTTCCAAAGTGTCCAAGTACCCGTGTCCAATATTTGGACACTTTTGAGCCGTGTCCACATATCCTGTAAATTGATAGATTGACGAATCCGACTCCTAGACACGCACCCGTGTCCGACACCCGTACCCGAGTCCGGGTAACATAGTCTGTAAGTCTTGTGCCGTTATGATTTTTTTGTTGAATGGAAAGCCCCATGTTAGGTTCTTGTTAGATTTGTTGTTGTTTATACTCGTTTTATGTATTTTGTCCAATGAATTTCAATTTCATTCTAAACACGTTTATACTATTCTCTCTCTAAACACGTTATACAATCAATATCTGATTTGTAATATTTGATTTTGAGCTCTGCTTTGCAATTTCTGCTACGTTTCTGTTTGGTTGATTTCAAAAGTACCCTTAAACTTAATTGATGTGTTGATAACTAAGTTCAAATTTGAACCTGTCAAATGATAATTATTCTTATAATTTAATTTCGTGTTTTTGTTATTTTTACTTGTTGGAATCTTAGTTTTATGAAATATTGGATGACTGATATGGAATTTATGGTGATATGTTTGCATCTCGGCAAGATGATTTTTGTAAAAAAAATTTCTGTAAAATATCAATCCTTTATTTATCTTGATAAATGTTCTTCTTGAAGCTTAGAGAAAGTTATTTACATCACTTTGTTTAGCTTGAATAATGTGGGAAAATCCCATATCTTGAAAACTTATTATTCCCCCTCCATGATCATCTTTTGCTGAACTTAATTTGTTAATTGGGTAGAAAGAATATTGCATCAAATGTTTGGAAAACATGGTACTGGTTAAAATCTTTAGTAGAGGTTGGTCTATATATTAGTAACTACCTCCCCTTTACTAACATGGCCTTTCCAGGTTTAATACATCAAGAGAAAGAATGAATTCCTCCTCTACAAAACTTAAATGAAAAAATTATCCTCATTTTAACCAAAGAAAATACAGAAAACAATCTGATTTAGGTTTATGTAGCTAGTGCCATTTGCCCATCCGTTGCTCCTTTTAGACCATCCTCTCCTTGCTACTTGAGAAATTTAATTTGGTGGCTTTTAAGGATGCTTGGTTATTTTGGGTCTTCGGTTGGTCTTGGTTTCTACCACGGCTTTTCAGGGTAATTTAAGTCAATGGATCAGCAAGAACGGCATCACTGGCCAACAAAAATTAGCATCAAAGACTTTAAGAAGAAAAGCAAAAAATTAAGGATCAAATTTCTTACATGTAATCTGTGTTTGATAGGGAAACAAAGCTGCTTGAAATTTCTCCACTTAGTTTGTTAAAGCTGAGGTCTCTGCAAGAGAAATCAAGAGAAGTTGATTTTAGAATGACAATCCCAGGAGAATTTCTTTTAAACCATTTCATTCCTGTAAAGCTTAAAAGTGATAATCAGTATAATATTGAAGTTTGCAATAAAATAGGATTTTAACTGTCTCTGCATCATAAGTGTCTAAGAAAACACCTCAGGTTAGAAACTTAGAGATTGTCTTGGATGCTCACTGCTCAGGAATTGGTTCTTCTTTTTTTCTTCTTATTAACAATTTAATGCATAGATAGAATATGCATAAATATAAATATGGGGAAGAGCTACTTGCTATAACACTCTGGTATTTACCATATTGTTATTACATTCACAAAAATCATAGCATTGCATTATTTTTCTGCCCCCTATTAAGGTAAGCAGTGCATGATTGAATGTCCTGTGGAGGATGAGCTTTTTCCTACAATATATAATATCTGTAGGTTTATAGCCAAATTGAAATAGTTGTCATAGCCAAATTAGGTTTAATTTTAGGTTCATTTTTTTTTTTTAGTGGGAATGGTAGTTGAAAAAGTATGAATGGTGGGAATGGTAGTTGAAAAAGTAGAGTGGTTGTGTCAAAAATAGCATTTTGTGAAATGCATCATTGGAGCAGAATTGCTAAAATATAGCATTTTGACACTGTAGCACCTGTCAAAATATAGATTTGGCATGCGAAAATAGCTTTTAGCATTGGAGATGCTCTTAGAAGCCATTGTGAAAGTAGAGCTTGAACACGTGTGACTCATCATCCATGAAAATCATTATAGCTCATTCCCCATCACATTGTTTTTTAGTAGAGATTACATTATTATGATCAATCATCATGTGATTTCTTTCTGGTTCTTTGATGATTTATCACTCATCTACTGATCTTTTCCCTGGTAGCTCTTACCTTTTGATTTTCATTATCGTATCTTTCATTAATGTCTTTTGTAATATCAGTAGTATCCAGGTTCTTCTATAAGTTATTGTTGATTGGGTTTTTAATATTAAATTTGCATCACTATTTTAAAATATGTTGCTTTTCCAGGGATGAGGGTGTTCACTGGGGCATACAGAATGGTCTTCATTTATCTAGAAGTACAATTGTATATTTTAAGCACAATAACATGGAGTCTCTACAAAATACTCTGGACAAAGTTATTCACGAAAACAAACGAGCTAAGAAGCTCAGACGTTACATTGTGGTTGAAGCTGTGTACCAGGTACTGCTTTTCAATTAGTCTTTAATTTTTGTTTCCATTTTCCTTTTTCTTTTCTTCCTTTTCAGTAAGCATCATTGAGAACATGAAACCCTTTTTTTCCTTTCTTTTAAATTAAAAAATGTAACCAACTATTGGTCTCAATCCTTTTTATTCGAGAACTCTATATTTTGGCACTAATTATAAGTTGATAGAGAAAGTTGTGCACTGGAGGAGATTACGTCGGACAACACTTGAAAGCTGAGTATGTTGTTGACAAAACGGTATTTGATGAACTAAGGTTATGGCTAGCCTGTACATCATTTTCTCATTCTAATCTTATTTCTTTTTTGAGATTCAAAGGTTAAACAAAAAATTATAATTATTTTTTTTCCTGTTAATTTATATATAAAATTACAACTTAACATTAGGAAGAAGTTATATGAATTACAAATTAATACAGAGGAAGAGCATTGAGTATAATCTTGAACCAACCTCTAAGAATCCTTTTTCTTTTCTGTTAAAGAAATAAAAGTATATGCAAGTAAAAGACTTTCGAATAAAAATAAAGGAGCAAATACTACACTCTTGATCTCGATGAACAAGAAATTGGTGTTTTAAGTTAAACAAGGTGTGAAGTACGGCCCTACGGTGTAAGCATTGTGGAGAGAGGCTCACTAGAGATGTAGTAGGAGTGTCCATCTCATTTTTATTAAGAATGAGGAAACCCAAGAATAACTTCTGTCCTAAATACAACGAACTACAAAATAATTGTGAAATACATAGCTTTGGCCTTAGTTACATTCTAAAGAAAAAAAAAAAAAAGGAAGGTGTGAACTCTATCTAATGAGACAGTTTGATCTTCAAATGAACCAATTCTGGATTCAAAAGCAAATTTAAGAGATTGGAAAAGATGAGGCAACCAATTTTCCCATAGTTGCCTTTTTTTTTAATACTCCGTAATATTTATTTTGATTTCTGACGTGCAAAACAAACAAAAAGCAAAATATAATCACATTAAATAAAATAGAAAGTGAGGACCTCATGGATTTGAGCTAAAGCCCAAGGCAGCCTAGATACCCTACATATATCATGGTAAGAACCATAAGCAAGTAGTTCTCTTCTTAAACGTTATGCAATGTTAGAATAAAATGTGGAGAGAATGTCTGGTAGGGGCTAGCGTTATAATGATTTTTTTATATCATCAGACACATATTTGCACATAAACAAAAGGGCAATTTGCTCTCGTCTCTATATACTTTATCCATTCCCTCCTCTATTGCATTCAGAATTGGGATAGGAGGCATCTACATTACAAGAGTTCAAGGTTATTAGAATTGGGATCATATGTTGGGCCGATTTAGGTTCCTAAAGATCAAATCACAGGATTAGATCGAGAATCATAAAATTCTTCCCATTCAGGGGAAAAAAAAAAAAAAAGAATCATAAAATTCTACAAAACGAGAAAGATAATACCTAAAAGCATTTGTTTAACAACAATCATTGAGAATATCTACATTACAAGAGTTCAAGGTTATTAGAATCGGTATCCTATGTTACGCCGATTTGGGTTCCTGAAGATCAAATCACAGGATTAGATTGAGAATCATAAAATTCTACAAATGAGAAGATAATACGTAAAAGTATTTGTGTGACAATAATTCTTAAGAAATACACACACAGAGACAAAAAAAAAAAAAGAAAAAAAAAAGATAGAATAATTAAGACAAAAGTATTTGGAACAAATAATCCTCCAAAAGTTCTCCTTAATTATTTTGAAGCGCATTATTCGTCAAGGAAATAAACAAATTAGTAATGTATAAAATGTATAATTTATATACAACTAACCTTGATAGCACATCATAATATTAGATTCAAAATATAAAATAAAATAATCATGAATTGTCATTTTGTGATTATTCGTTATATGAAAATCTCTCACATACGAAAAAATTACTATTCAAATTTACTCGAGCTGTATTCTATAAGAGTGCCTATAGCATAGAGGAAAGAAATAGAGAGAAAAAGGAACGAAGCTGCTTCTCTAATAGCCCGCTGAAAAGATTTCTGTAGATAAGATATTGTTTTGTTTGAAGCAAACTTATTGAGCTTTAGAGAGAAGAGATAGAGATTGAACTCAATAGGTTGAAGTATTGTTTGTAAAGAAAAGTTTTGTGTACCTTTGTTGTTACATTATTATTATTATTATTATTACTATTATTATCATATTTTATTTTATATATTTATTTTTTGATAAGATACCTTTGTTGTTACATATCATAACAAAATAAACAACCCGAAGAAAAATGAAAGGAAAAAAGAAAAGAAAAAGGAAAGGCAACAATGTCTAACTCATACTAAATAAAAATGAGGAATCAAGTTGTCTGAATAAGTTTTTTAAATAGTTAATCAGTTTAAACGAGGACTTGAAGTATCTTTGTAGGGTCAAAATGAAAAGAAAACCTTCAAATAATTATCATTTCTAGGACACTTAAATTGGTCTTGACCTTTGTTTCGTAGAATTTTTGGAAATCGGTTCCTAACTTATCAAAAATTAAGAAAAGAGTAACATTTAATGATTTTGTAATAGGATTGATAGAAACAGGAGTGAAATTGGGATCCCAAGATTCCTATGACTGTATAGGGATTCCATATGGTTCAACCATTATGGGTTTTTTTGTGGGATTGGGAATGATTCAATACTTTTGGATTGTAAAATTGTATGATCGTAAGATCTGGATCAGGATTTTATTAACCATGCAAGTGTTAGCCTCACATTTGCAAATGGTTTTACTTGACTACAGTTAACATGCATGCATTATAAATCAATTATTTATGCCACTTGATGTGGCGGTTTTATCTTCTGCCACTTCGGTTCTTTGTATTATGGAGAAATTTCATATTGTTTGGTGTATTATTAAAGTTGCACCCAATGATATGAAATATTATCACATGCTTTCTTTTATTAGCAAAGCAAAAGTATGCACCAATGACATAAAAGAGTGTCATATATATATATATATATAATTTTTTTTTTCTTTGCAATTTAGGGTGGAAGGATAGATTTTTCCAACATTCTTATTCACCTAACATGAAATTTTCCCCATATTACAAAGAACCAATTGGAGGAAAATCAATTTGTGAATGGATTGGCATAAATAATTGATTTATATGTTGCATGCATCTTAACTATATTCAAGAGAAATCATTTGCAAGTACAAGGTTGCCTCGTGTACCGTTTTAGAGTGCGACAGCTTTGTTGATTTTTTTGGACCTTCCTTTACTCATCCATAAATTTGCTTGCAAAGTCTATACACCTACAATCTTGGTGCAAAAGGAGGAGGAAACAGGAAAGTCAAATAGTAATGAGAACAAAAAATGTAAGTTGAAGGTATCACAGTGGCTGGCCAAAGTTGGTGAAAAAGTGAATCAAGATCTTTTCTATAGCCAAGTGAAGAAATTAAAATTTAATGGTGGAGAACCACTCATCAGGCTCTTAGTCATGTGAATCATGATCCTCCTATAGGGGGTGCCACTTTTTTCACATTTCAATCTCATTTGGACACTCTGATTGCAAATCCTTTCCCAATCCTCAATGTCACTTTTGTCAATCTGCGAAATTGTGGTATTCTTGATGGTTTCTCAGCACTCAAATGATAGTCAACCACACGCATCACTTGCATAGACTACAACGAACTAATGTGCGTCTAATTCCAAATAACAAATGCTAGAAAGGCACAAATATGATTGAAACTTCAACATTGAGAGCACCAACAAATCGTTTTGTCAACCACTTTGTACGTATTGATCATCTTTGTACGTATCATCTACTAGAGGTGTGTACATTGCATTTATCCTCACGTATTCCAGTTGAAATCCGATAGACAAAGTTCTGTCCTTTCAAGTTTGATGAGTTACCAATTTTGTGTAGAGAACAAGAGGAAAGCTCGATCAGTTCTTTATATGCATTGACCTGTTCTTTAGAAGAGCCGGCTGGTCGGCCATTTTGATTTTTTACTTGATGAGGAAAAAAAACCTTCCGAACTATTTGACTTTGTATCATTTCTTCTGTAAGTAGGATATTCACCTCTCAAGAGGATTTTCTCTCTCTAGATGTTAGAGACATTCAACTCATACCTAGACCAACTATAACCCTATATTTATAGCCAATATAGGAGTACCATATGTTCTAAGTAGTTAAATTCTTAATCGATCGAGCCTTGAATCAAACTGCACTGGACACTTCTCAATAGATCAACACATCAATCGAGGCTTATTAGATTTGAATATGTTTTGTTATAACGTATTGATTTATTGACCATTCGGTCGATACATTCAGATTTTGAAAAATATTTTTTCAAGAACATCTTGATTGATGGACCATTTGGTGATGTTGCCCACTGAAAAATACTTGATCAATTGAGTATTCGATTAGTTCAAAAAAAAATTTCAAAATATGTATGAAAGTTTAGATTTGAAAAGCCATTTTTTAAGAAGACTTTTAGAAACATTTTTGTGAGCCCAACGCCCCCAACCAAGATCAAACTAGCTCAAATAAGGTCTTTCTAAGGTTATTTTAACTGTGTCTTAGATGTGATTGCGGATGCGAATTTTACAACGTATTCTTCCCAATTTTGTGTTTGCCATGTCTTCAAGAGTTTACATTGAATGACTCGAGACATTTTGACACATTATAACACAAGTTTTTTTGTTGAATTTGCCAACACAACTCATATACTTGACAAAAAGAGTATAATTCTCATGTGACCATGTACATCTTTGTTGGGTTCAACAACCAGTGGAAATGCTCCACAGAATGGATCCAATGCATGCGTACTCACATATTACATTAGGAGGTTATGCATAAAATGCACTCTCCAACAATTTTTTGCTCTCTGAGGACATGATCAATCAAGTGGCATAGAATGGCATCTCCACAAAAGGTACATAGGTACTAGGCTTTAGAGGTAGAGACGGATTGAATATGTTTGGAATCTAAGGGGCTAAGTTATTGGAATTTCATAAGGTAACTTGCTGGACTTTTGGCACGGCAATTAAGTTACATAGTGGTAAGGGTAATAAGATTTCAGGGTTTTAGAAGTAGTGATTTGAAATCTGGCATGCTCTTCTCTTGAGCATTATCACTAGAGTTAAGGGTTGCATGATCTAATATTTCAGGAGCTTTATTAGCTTTTGTAAAATTCTCAAAAATAATCTATTAAATAGAAGGGTTCTTGGGTGTTGAGTGGGTGCTTTTCCACTTCCTTATTTGGGATTGCCTTTGGGAGTTTCCTCTAGGAGAGTGGGGAGTTGGGATCCGGTAATCAACAGGTATGAAAAGAGACTGGCGGGATGGAAAAAATAGTATCTCTCGCGCGGGGGGGGGGGGGGGGGGGGGGGGTGGGGCTCTCGTCCCTTCCCAACTATTTTTTATCTCTGTTTCAAATTCCATGCTCTGTTGCTGAATGAATCGAAAAAATTCAGCGTGATTTTCTTTGGGGTGGAAGAGGAGAGGAGTTCAAGTATCATCTTGTTAATTGGGAGCAAGTTTGCAAACTTTTGAAATTAGGCGGTTTAGGCATTCGGAAGCTGGTCCCTTTCAATAAAGCTTTATTGGGTAAGTGGTTATGGAGGTTCGATAAAGGGCGTTATCAACAATGGAGAAGAGTTGTCTCGTGTCGTTTTGGGGAGGATGGTGGGGGTTGGTCCTCTCGTCCTGTGTCTGTCATGGGAGGCGTTGGCGTGTGGAATTTCATTTGGAAGGGTTGGGATGGGTTTTCCACTCACATTAGATTCAAAGTTCGCAATGGTAGGCACGTTCGTTTTTGGGAAGACTTGTGGTGTGGTAATCAGCCTCTGTCTCTTTCCTTTCCTCGCCTCTTCAGTATTGCTGAGAACAAGCATGTTTACGTAATTAATTGTTATCATCTTGATAGCAGTGGGGTTACGTGGGATGTGCTTTTTAGGTTCTTTTTAGGATTGGGAGATGACAGAAGTATGCGTTTTTTTGGATTTGTTGTATAGACAGAAGGATGTTGGCAGAGGTTGTGATGATATTCTGTGGGTCCCTTCCACTCATGGTAAATTGGAGTACGATCTATGTTTTTGTGTTTGTCCAACTTCACTGGCCAAGATTTCCCATGGAAGCCTATTTAGCGCTCTAAAGCTCCTCTTAGAGTTGCATTCTTTGTTTGGACTGCCACCTGGGGAAAAATTTTGACATTGGATAATTTGAGGAAGAGAGGTAATACCATTGTTAACTGGTGTTGCTTATGTAAAACAGACGGTGAGCCTGTAGATCATATTCTTATGCATTGTCCTATGGCGTATGATTGTTGGAATCTTATCTTCAGTATTTTTGGCGTTCAGTGGGTGATGCCTAAGCACTCTATTCAATTAATTAACGCATGGAGAAGGTGCCCAGTTAAAGGTCATGCTCGTGATTTATGGAGGATTGTCCCACATTGTGTTTGGTGGTGTATCTGGAGAGAGAGAAATAACATAAATTTTGAAGGGAAGGAATCGACTATAGCAAATTTAAAATTTTATAATCTTCGTTCTCTTTTCTGTTATGTAAGAGGAAGTGCTTGCTCCTCGATTGCTAATTTATTTGACCTTTTTGACTCTATTGGTCCTTAGGGTTTTGTTTTTGTGTATCAGTGATGCATTCCCCTTTTGAATGCTTTTCTAATATATTTTACTTATCAAAAAAAAAAAAACGAAGGGTTGTTTAGATAGTTTCATGTTGCAAACTGGTTCAACTAGGACTCTAGAATCGGAACCTAAGGAGACTGTAAAATTATATTAGACCTATAGGGTGCACATATAAAGATGCAGTAACACAACAACTAATCCCAACCACGAAAGAAATCAAAATCAATTCTGTGAGCCTTACCTGAAAAAACTCTGCATTTATACACATTTGAAGGGGGCTGTCCATAATCTTGTCTTGATTTGATATCATTTAGGTTTTAGAATTCATATTCTTTAATATTTTTGGACAACTTGGAGCACCTTTCCATTTGGTTAAGTACTTTTGATAATCCACTCCTTGATAAGGACCTACAGATTTTTGAATGAACCTTCTTATAGACAGCATTTCTCTGGGTATACTAAACTATCACTGTCTGGCTCATTAAATTTTGCAGAACGTTTCCTTTCTTCTTTTCCCCCTGTTTTATTAATCAAAGGAATATCAGAGCGAATTCCTAATGCAATAAAATCACTCAAGAAACCAATTATTAGGCTGAAGAGGTTCCATCAACACATTTTAGGTCTTGTACAAGTCTTGTTATACTAATGGTGTATTGCTGTCTATGTCCTACTGCGTTCTTTTTATGAGAATTTTCTGCTCAACTGGGAAATGTTTAGTTTTGTGATTATTCAGGGGAAAAAGAAGAAGTTTGTTTTGTGATTGATTTATTCCAATTTGCAGAATTCTGGCCAAATTACTCCATTAGATGAGCTCATCAGACTGAAGGAGAAATATAAGTTCCGTGTTTTATTGGATGAGAGCAACTCATTTGGTGTGCTTGGCTCTTCTGGAAGAGGTCTTACTGAACACTATAAGATTCCGGTAACATTTTGAAGACTCCTATATTAATTAGTCATTAAATCTTGGTATGTGAGTTTATATTGGTGTAACATTGTAGATTGAGAAGATAGACATCATAACTGCTGCCATGGGACACGCGTTGGCCACTGAAGGAGGATTTTGCACTGGAAGTGCCAGAGTTATTGATCATCAAGTACGAAAGAGCTTTAATTTGAAAAAAGAATCTTAGAAGAACCTTATTTTGGCCATACTTTTTTATTTTCATTATATATCAATCAATGTGATGATTAATCCTGTTTCAGCTTTCCTTGTACTAATGACTTATGCTATGCTTATATTGGCAGCGTCTCAGCAGTTCTGGTTATGTATTTTCTGCTTCTCTGCCCCCATACCTAGCAAGTGCTGCAATTACTTCTTTTGATGTCCTGGAGGAAAATCCTGATCTGATCACAAAACTGAAGAAAAATATTGCCTTTCTATGCAAAGGTTTGTTTTCCTTTCATCCTTATGCATACTGTATTTAAGGGACTTGATTGCACATGCCAATTACTAACTTGGAATACAATCAAATAAGGCTGGAATTGTGATTTAAGGTTTTGTTTCCAGTGGACTAGAACTGTAGAATTTTATTATTGTTTTGGCTGGCATTGACTTTCTTTTTGTTTCTAATTATTTGGGTAATTGCAGGTTTGTCAGATATCCGAGGCCTTGAGATTGCTAGCAGTCCAGAATCCCCTATTGTATATCTCAGACTAAAGAAGCCCTCGGGTTCTATAAAGAATGATCTACAACTGCTTGAAGATATTGCTGATCGTGTATGCCAGTAGTCTGAGCTTCATTCAAATCCTGAATTTGATTACTTCTCTAGTTCTTAATTCTTGTGCATTTTGCAGGCATTGAGGGAGGACTCTGTTTTTGTGGTGACTTCCAAAAGATCAACGCTGGATAAATGCCGTCTGCCTGTGGGAATTAGATTGTTTGTCTCTGCTGGTCATTCAGAATCCGATCTGTTGAAAGCATGCGAATCATTGAAAAGAGTCACAGATTTGGTGTTGACTGGTTGTGATTGAATGTTGCATACCAGATATCATGCTTTTAGTGGTATATTCCTCTAAGATCTCTTGTGGCCAACAAAGAAATGAGCGAAAGATGTTACTGGGATTTTGCCCTATATAGCTCATAGATTATTTCGAACTGTATTTTTTGTAACTGTTCCTTCACTTAAAAGGGCAGTAAGGCGGAAATGACGTACCGTTTGAGCTAATGGCAAGCTAAAATGTGTTGGAAGTTGAGTTGTGGACATGTTTTTGGTTTCACAAATATTACGTGCTGATATTCGTGTTATCTTGAAAATTACTGTTTGTACAACACAACTTTAGGTATTGTCTCTTCCGCTAGACTTCTTGTTAGATGAAATGTCTTCCGTGAATATATTCCATAGCTCACTGGATTGATTCGAGTGTACATTTGTTTATTTTTTGTGTTAGTGTGCTTTTTCGTTCTTCCTTTTATTGTACCAAATATATTTATCATATTTTGTTCTTGGATTGCTGTGTCTTTGACAAATAAATATGTTCTATTTCTTTTTGGAGGACTTTCTGGTGACAAGCCAGTGAATCTTTCTGTATTGGTAGTGTGTAATGCGGTTCACCGAGGGTAACCTTAAAGAAAGAAGCTAAACAGCTAATATGGGTTCGCTACTGAGGGTAGAGATGATTGTTTTTGGGGTTAAACCCACTATTTAAAATTTTAATTATAAAATTCTTGGGAGGTCAGGGGTTCAAGTCTTAGAAGAGATAAGTGTGTGTGAGTATTAATTAAGAAAAAAAAAAAAGAACAGACAAATTTAATCTTACTATTTAATGTTATATTAAAAATTAAAAATTATTTTTTAAAATTATTAAAATACCCTTTAATCTTCTTTATAAAGGGAGAAAAGAAGATTAAAGGGTATTTTTGTAATTTTAAAAAATAATTTTTAGTTTTTAGTATAACATTAAATAGTAAGATTAAATCTGTCATTTTATAATACGTCGGACATGGATATTAGAATAATGTAATCAATTTTTAAAAGTGTAGGAATTTTTAAAAATAGGTTGATGTTTTATGATCAAAATTTAAAATTAGTGAAAGTTTTATGATTTTAACCTTGTTTTTGAAGTGTGTGTTTTGTTTCCATTATATGAATTTGGTAAAATAGATGAGGAGATGATGGGGAGGAGAAAGAAGAGACGAGTATTAGATTAAATAAATTGAGAAAAACTAGATTTTGGTCATCAATTTTATTTTATTATATTTATTTATTTATTTTAAGTGATATTTAGGCCCCCTTTGGATTGGTTTTTCAAACACTACTTTCAAAAGGCTCTTTTGAAACATCACAGAATAGTTTTGGCATTTTAATGAAACTTTTTAAAGGACAAGCTTACCTTTTTTATTACTTAATAAAAAAATATAATTCAAAGCGTGTCCTATAAAAAGTCTCTTTAATTTTCTTTTCAAACCCTAGTAATACAGAACTCGCCTCTGCCTTCTCAGAAACCCAAAAAAAAAAAAAAAAAAAAAATTACATATCCCTTTCATACTCAAAGACGAGACTGATCTGATCGAGCATTCAACGGAAAGGAAACCCAGAAGATGATTCTTGTTTGGGCTCCTTCTCTTCTTTGTTTTTATTTTCGGTAAATAGAAAGAAGATTATGGGACTAATATGGAACCTACGAGAAAACAAAAAGATCTAATTTGCGTGTCCATAGCTACAATCTTGTCTAGAGTTGGATCATGAAAAATCACGTGCTTTGGCCCACAGAGTGGGTTCGTAGTTCTTTGGTTGCAGGGTTAAGAATTCTTCCACCTTTGATTTGGAATCGGTAGTAGGTCGGTTGGAATTGGAGTTGTATAAGGGCTTTAGCCTAAGGGGATATGTTTTTTTGTTCTTGTAGGTTCAATACTCCCCTCATGATCAGGGACGGAGCCAATTAAGGACCAGGAGGGGCACGTGCCCCCCCTGGATTTTCTCCTTCTCTTATATTCTATATATATTTTATAATAATATATATGTTTTTTTAATGAAAATATGGAAAGTGCCCCCCCTCAATTTTATCATTCTCCGTAGAATTCTATATATGTTTCACATTTTTTTATCCTAAATTGTTTCCTTAATCCTTATATTCTATATTTATAAATTAATTTCATTCCAAAAATATCATTATCTCTTTCTATATATATATACTCATAAATATTGACTTATATACATGTACATTATACTATAAATATATGATATGGTATATAGTACTATAATGTGCCCCCTTTAAAAAAAATTTCTGGCTCCGTCCCTGCTCATGATCTTTCTTTGTATTTGCCGGAGGAAAAAAAAAAGGGATTTTTACATATAAATGGAGTTAGGGAGCCATATTTACTCATAGATGGAGTCAAAGTTTTATATTTTCATAAAAATGAGTTTGATCTAAATGATGACATGACACATGAAGTTTTATTGTTTAAAATTTTTGTTACCTAAAATGCCCTTCTCCCTATTCCAATGCATTTACCTTATCACCCTTGTTTAGGAAACATGGTACCTGGAGGCCAAACAGTGGTACCTTCAGTTCAAAAACGTAGTACCTTTAGAACAAAAGTGGTACCTTCGTAAAAGGGACTTATTTTTGCAATTGAAAATGACATTAAACCCCACACCACTAATTAAGTTGCACATTACATCCATAAACAGCTCCATTAGCGCCATAAATAATACAAAATATTCTCCAAGCTAGCTAAGCGAGTGTTCAGAAAACATGGTAGCTGAAGACCAAAAAGTGGTACCTTCAGTTCAAAAACGTGGTATCTTTAGATTAAAAGTGATACCTTTGTAAAATGAACTTATTTTTGCAATTAAAAATGGTATTAAATCCCACACCGTTAATTAAGTTGCACATTAGATCCATAAACTGCTGTTGAAAAATTTATAAACCTTCTTATTAAATAGAAGAGCCTAACATGTATTTATTAAATAGAACAACCAAAATTCATTACTTTTCATTAAATCAAAACCATCAAGTGAAGTACCATGTCTACAAAATACTTTAAGTCACCGCGAATGTCAAAAAAGTTATCATCCATCTAATCTAATAAAGTCAACAAGAAATAAAAAACTAAATCACTAAATTTAAAGGAAGCAATCATCTTTTGCAAAATAAGAACACAATTATTAAGTTTGAACATTTATTAGCCCCCACTCGTCCATACAAAGTCTTGATTGCAATATTAGCCCCCACTCATCCATACAAAGTCTTGATGGCAAGAATCGATCCTCCAATCACACTGTCAAAAAAAAAAAAAAAAAAAAAAAAAGTTACTACATTTAATTGTATAACATTAATGAAAAAATTAACCAACCTTAAAGAAGTAAGCGAAACGGAAAAGGTGAAGGAGAGGAACTGAAAACGTGGACAAATTTTCAAACTCTTAAACAAAATGAAAAAATATAATTCAATGCATAAGATGAGGCATTCCAGAATTTCTAAATTGGGGCATTCCAAAATTTCAATAACACATCAGTATAATTATAATTGTATGTAAAGAAAAATATAATTCTAGACTGGGGCATTCCAGAATCTCAATAACACATTAATCTTTTTAAGTTATAATGTATAAGATGTATGTTTGAGTTCATGATAATTATTCTATTCTCATCATACAATTAATATATATATTAATATATATATATATATATATATATATATATATATATATATATAAGTAGCATCCTACAATTAATTAAGACCCAGATCTATATCAAAATTCTAAATGGTCTTCATGTATAAGAGGTCTAGAGACCAAATTGTCTCCCTATTATCATTGAAAAATTCTAAAGATTTAATTATGACCCAGATCCATATCAAACATGATATTCGGATACCATATTTTTTTTAACAATTGCATTATTGAAATAGTTATTCAAAAGTCCCGAACAACCTTGCCAATTAAAATGGTGCGAAAAAAAAAATCTACCATACCAACTATTTAGATGTAGTATATGATAATTAAGAAATATTTGTGTTATTTATGGCGCTAATGGAGTTGTTTATGGATCTAATGTGCAACTTAATTAGTGGTGTGGGGTTTAATACCATTTTCAATTGCAAAAATAAGTTTCTTTTACGAAGGTACTACTTTTGTTCTAAAGGTACCACGTTTTTGAACTGAATATACTACTTTTTGGCCTCTAGGTACCATGTTTTCTAAATATTCGCTTAGCTAGCTTGGAGAATATTTTGTGTTATTCACGGCGCTAATGGAGCTGTTTATGGATGTAATGTGCAACTTAATTAGCGGTGTGGGGTTTAATGCCATTTTCAATTGCAAAAATAAGTCCCTTTTACGAAGGTACCACTTTTGTTCTAAAGGTACCATGTTTTTGAACTGAAGGTACCACTTTTTGGCCTCCAAGTACCATGTTTTCTAAATAAGGGTAATAAGGTAAATGCATTGGAATAGGGAGAAGGGCATTTTAGGCAACAAAAATTTTAAATAGTAAAACTTCAAGTGCCATGTCATCATTTAGGTCAAACTCATTTTGTGAAAATATAAGACTTTGACTTCATCCATGAGTAAATATGGCTCCCTAACTCCCCCCCCCCCCCCCCCCCCAAAAAAAAACCAAAAACCAAAAAAAAAAAACAAAGAAGAGAACCGAAGGAATTAGAATACAATATATATATATATATATATATATATATATATATATATATATATATATTACCTTTCGCTGTTGCAATTTAATCTATATTTTTATTCATTCTTGGTTTTGTTTTTTTGTTTTCTTTCCATCTTTAGCTTCATTTTTTTTTTTTTACTACAAAATTGAATTGGGAAATAGGTGAACATGTATGTAAAGCTTCCTCAATATTCTAAAGGTCACAAATGAAGAAAAAAAATATCTTTCCATCTTTAGCTATTTTTTTTACCTCAAAATTGAATTGGAAAATAGGTAAACCTGTAAAAATAAAAAAAGGTGAACCTGTATGTAAAACGTTGTATTTAATTTCCTTTAAAGAATTTATAAAATGAGTAAAGTATATATTACCTTGAAAAATAATAATAATAATAATTAAATAATTAATTGTTGGTAAGTTAGTTAAATCATTTTATTACATCAACAATTTTTTTTTTTAAAAAAAATCATTCATGACACTCATGATAGATGTGTAACATATTTTATTTTTCACAAATTATATTTGTCCATATCATAGTTTTGATTGCAGCGGTTGGTCGGTAAGTGTTTTGGACCTTTATTTTATTGGTTTTTATGGTAAAAATGCTCATTTGATTGATTTTTTATGTTGATAAACACTCCCAAAAAAAAAAAAATTCATCTCCCAAATATATATATATATATATTTCATGTAAGGACAAAATAATTATATAAGTAGTAGAAAAACTCTTCCAATATTAAAAGCTCTTCAAAAATACACTTCCAAAACACTATCATATATGCCAAATAAAAGTGATATCTTGTAGTTCTCTTTTTCTTCTTTGTAAAAACAGAAGTAAAAGCCTTGACCTTAAACTCAAGAAGACAATGGTTA